GGAGACTGATTGAAAAGCAACAACCTCAAACATAAAAATTCCATATATATCCTAATAAAGAAGGATGATAGTTCCATGACATTACAAGATGTTAATTATTAACTAAAAGACAAAGATAATATTTGAAATTAAAAATAAAATATTTTCTATGGTAAAGAAAAATGAACTATATGGTTTCTATCAAGAAATATATTGGAGTTTTATATTTCAAAATAAAGTTTTAGATGGCATTATTTCTTATATATACAAAAAATTCCCTATAGCTTTGTGCCAAGAATACAATAAAAACAGCTATTTTTTTCAAAAAAAATGTATTCTCATAAAATTTACTTTCCCATAACAACATGTGTTATTCATCATCTGAGAGAAGATATGTTTAAAGTATTTTTGCTTTATAAAACTATACTTTCTGACTTTTTCAAACACAGTGCCTTTTGCTATCAATAACAAAATATTAATGTTGCTATTTATTAATATAAGATATTAATTTATTTTATTCACTTTCAGTAATAAAGACATCTATAATCAAGATTTAAGGCTTCTACACTACAGTGTAGATAGGTTCAATGAATTACTAATGTTTTTAATATCTCAGGTCAATGGATCAACCACTAAAATCAATTTAGCTCTTCATGATCCTAAAAATAACTATGTCCAAAACAAGTTTCACTCAACTAAATACAAGTCAGAATTAAATATTGTTACCTGTTATATAAAAATTATATGCCTATTATATTATACCTGATATAACTATGCCTGTTAAGAATAGTCATTAATACTCCTCATATATACTCCACTTTATATACCACACTGTCTTACACTTAGTTGACACATAATACTTATTTGCTTAAAATGAATGTATCAAATAAAGAAAATAAATGTAAATTATAAAAGCTGAGCACTGAATACCAGCAATAGCAAAGAGGTCCAATGGAATGACAAAAGAGGAAAAACTCTTGAGAATTCTAATGATGGTAAAAGGTCTAAAAGTTCATTCCCATCATTCGCTATATTTCACCTCGTTTGAGAGAGTTCACAAAGTGTAAGACAATAACACAAAATCTATGATTTTTATGCCTCGCTGTTTTCTATTATGTCTTAACCTTGTGATGGTGATAAAGTACATAGTAAATAAGTTTTAGGGCCTTTTTCTAGCCAACTATGTGGTGTCTCGGGGGTCTAATGCTAACTATTGTCAACTAAATTTTTTTTTCCCCGTAAGAGAAATGCAAAAACTTGGAGGTTACAACACAGCTGGGTGAAAAGGTGCTTACAGCGATAAACTCTAAGGTTGATGTAATAAAAGCATCGTGAAAGTAATGCATTTCAAAGTATTTCAATAAAATACATCTAACAGAGATTAAGGAAGTAACTCCAAAACATTTTAGGGTGTTTTTATCTTTTTTCTGTTTTTTTTTTTTGTTTAGATTTATAATATATAAGCACATATTCCATTTCAAAAGCCTACTTTTTCTGTGTTCTTAATATCTTGAGAGATGGGAGTACATGGGATATTTTAGTTATAGTGATAGAAAACCCATCTAGTTTAAGGGAAAAAAAAATAAAAAGGAAAATCACTTCAAAGTTACTCTCAAGTTCCAGGGGTATCTTTTGGACTCACTGGTTGTAATGCAACCAGTCATGAGAAGCAGACTGGAATGTGGAAATGAATGATTCCCTCACCAGTAATCTGGGGGGAATGGTCATCCCCTCTGCTCTCTGTTTCAGGGTGTTGGCTCCATTCTGCTGTGTGCACAGCCTTCTCTGACATTCCAACCACAAGAAAAAAGATGACTGTATTTTGGTATGCAAATAGTCAAGAAACTATGTACCCATATCAGTCAAGAAACTGGTATAGAAAATCACGGGAAGAGATTCTGATTGACCTATTCTGTGTCTATGCCCACACACCTGACCTTTGGTGGTGTCATGAAGAAATAACATAAGGGTTAGATGAACATATTCATCTAGATAACATATAATATACAAAATAGGAATCTATAAAGTATTAAGTTTTATGAAATTTTATTCATTTATTTGTCCATCAGACAAATACTTAATGAAAGCTCATGATATTTTAGGCACTGTCCTAGACATTGACTATTCAGATAGTGAAAGAGGTAGACAGGATACTGAGCTAAGTTGTTCTCGTAAATTATAGAAATTTGAGTGGTTTCATACAAAACAAATAAAACAAAATACTATGAACTCACTACTTAGAGAAGAAAAATAAAGATGGAAAATCTTTTAAAAACAAAAGTAATTTCTTATGTTCTTAAAGAAAGAAATTAATTCCAGAATTAATGTCTCTCTGAACACATTACAGGTTTGAGTCATTCTTAGAGGAGGGGAAATCGCACACCTGTGTAAGAAGTTGCTCAGTGAATTACACTTACATAAATATATATGAAGCTTATGTAATAAATAGAATAGATTAATGTAAGATTACTACTTGCTGATACAATTCAAAACTTATTGAACACGATAGCATAATGTAAAATAACGAGATTTCCTTTACATGCACTGAACTTATTGTAATGTGCCAATATTGGACAAATTAGGTACTTTGGAGGGAAACCACAAAGAACACAAATGAACCATAATGTAGTTCTAAAGAGAGAAATTTTTGTATTACAGTTTTCCCCTGCTATGTGAAAGAAGAGTGTTCCTATGAAACCCTTCCTTCTTTGAAATGGTGTGAAGCAAAGAAGCAATGATCATTTTGTAAAAGCGAAAATCCTCTTCAGATTTCTTTTGGTTAGCAAAAACAGGTAGTAGTATAGGTTTTACATAACAGTGAAGTGACATAAAGCAAAGTTTTGAATAACAGAGAAAACCTGGAAATGGAGAGCTTTCAGGATTTTCTAAGGTACAGTTAGAGTGGCTCATCCAATACAGTAGCATAATGGAGACTTCAGCTCATAGTCCCTGTTTTAAGGGGTCATTCAGAAAAGTACTTATAACACTGAACTCACCTAAAAACAGAGAATGGGGCATGTGGAGAGTTCAGTCCTTGGTCTACTTTTTGGTCTAATTCTTTTCAATCCCCCTTGATGATTTTTTCTAAGCCCCAAATGTTAAGTAGTTAATTTGGATGCTGATGTCCCCTGGATACCTATCTGTGATACAAGGTTCTCTACCTCTCCAATTTAATATTTTATTCCATGACAAGTTTCTCTTCATCCACTCTACACTACAATTTCCATGAAGGTGAGATGATGTGTTATTTACTTACATGCATATGTCTAATATCTAAAGCAGTAAACATTAAGTACACTTGTATTAACTCTGACTTAGAGCCTTCTTTCTAAGCCTTCCCTTACATTACTTCCATCAGAATGCCTTTCTTTTCAACCCACTCACCTTTTAAGTCCCTATTCATTTTCTCATGATTCAATTTAAGCATTTCTTTGATGAGATCTTTCCCGAATCCTTCAGAATTAGCCACTCCTTTCTTTGCCCAGCACCCACATCTACTATTAACAAAAGACCATACCTTCATTCAGATTTTGGTATCTTATTTCTCTCTTAGCAACTATAAATTTTTTTATATGCATATATACATACTGTATACATTATATACACACACATACACATATACACACACATATACACAATACTTAATGTATCACACGCCTGTAACCCTCTACAAGACTGCAAGATTGTTGAAGTCAAGGACAATAGATTACTTGCTATTATATTCTTGGGCTAAGACTATTTGTTGACTGAATAAATAAATGTCACAATTAGAAATAGTTACTTCCCAAAGGAACAACAGATAAGTGAACTAACAACCAAAATGTTGCTTTTAGTAAGAAAAAAATAGTATTACCTTTAAATAAATAGATGAGAATAAAGGTATGTTCATGGGTCATTACTAAGCTTATATGTATTGTCAGCTTTATAGTGCTGTTTAAGTTTTGAGGTGGATTATTTTCTGTAGTTGTTACCCTTCTAGATATATTTACTCAAGTTTTCAAAATATTTAAAGTAAATATTCAAAGTATTTAAAGATCATTGCTTCTTTTTGTTACTACTTATTTAGGTACGGAATTATTTAAGTTATCGTAGTTCTTTAAATAATCATTATCTCCTGAATAGTTTACTGTATCAGTATTTGAAACACTTTTGTCTAGATTTACATAAGACAGTACTCCTGAGAAATGTGTAAATATTATTGAAAAAACTCAAATAAATTAAAGGGATGCTGTTATTTAAAATACATCTTATTAGTTCTTGTAAAAAGAATAAATTCATAGGTGCGAAGATAATATCTCTTCCAAGTTCAGATATTCCTATATCTATTCTGGTTAAAGCAAAACATAAGAAACTGAAGGCATTAAGCAATGATAGTCTGTTAAGCAGACCAAGGATGTAAAAATGAGAGCGAAAACAAGTTTGTAAAAGGACTGGTTGTCTCTGAGTAACTTTTTATGTACACACCTGCATGTATGTACATGCATATATCAACCGATATAAGTACTTATAATTCCCTGTGTCTAATTTTACTAATTTGTAGGTTTGAAAAATGAATGTCATTTTACTCCTACAGATAATAGTATTAATCTTATTATGGTAATATAGAATAGCCTGAAATTTCCAAAGTGACAGAAAAGGGACAGAAAGTGAGATTACTAAAGTTACCAATTCTTATCTGATTGGTCCTTTGACTCTTCTAGTTCCCAGCCTAACACATTTCCTCTTGCATGCAATTCAGAAAAAGGCAGACTTACTAGATATCATGTACAACACCCTGACAGAATCTTTCAACTCTCTTAGGATAACAGTAACTGCTCTAAACTCAGGGTTTCAGTCATGACAGCATTGTTACTCTTGTTCTTTTACTAGGCATGGCTCAATATGTCTTCTGCCTACGGTCATGGTCCCTGCCAGGCAAAAGAGCATAGCCATCAAGTTGAAGCAAGATGGTCTGTCTTTATGCATCGCGACACCACCGTCCACTCACAGAGAAGAGAAGAGAAAGAAAGAGACAGTTTTACCCGCAGAAAGGAGAGGTCCCGGTTGTGCTCGATGCTGGTTATCTCCAGGTTGCCCATGACCACCTCACAGTTCTCATAGTATTTGCGCAAGGCTCGATACTGCTGCTCCAGGTCAGAGAGAGAGCTCAGCTTGTTCTCTGTCCCTGCACACACTGCCAAGACAAGAAGATACACAGGAAGTTATATAACCTTTCTATGCCATGCACAATGAAGAAGTCTCCCTCAACTCTTCACTCCACATGCTCTACTCCGATTCCCTGAACTAAAAACTATTTTGAATCTCATTAATCCACATAAACCACACACTAATACACATCCTCACTTTTATTTTTCCCCAGCTATGAGGAGATATAATTGATACATATACAAGGTATACAATGTATGTATTTGATACACTTACCTGTTGAAAAATGATTACCATCATAGCATTAGCTAACACCCTCGTTTAGGTCTCATAATCACCATTTTTTTAAATTTATCATTTATTTTTGAAGGGGATGGGTAGAGAGAGGGAGACATAGGATCTGAAGTGGGCTCTGTGCTAAGTGCAAAGAGCCTGATGAGGGGCTCAAACTCACGAATTGTGAGATCATGACCTGAGCCAAAGTCAGATACTTAACCGAGCCACCTAGGAACCCCATAAACACCATTTCTTTTTCACAGTGACAATTAAGATCTATTCTGTAAGCAACTTTCAAGTATATAATATAGTATTGTTAATTATAGTCACCATGCTGTATGTTAGAGCCTCAGAATTTGCTCATCTTATAACTGGAAGTCTGTACCTTTTGATTGGTAATCTCCCCCGAAGCCCCAGGTAGCTAACACTCTACTCTCTGTTTTATGCATTCGGCTTTTTTAGATAAGACATATAAGTGATATTATGGTTTTCTATTACTAAACTGCATGTTCTAAGGACAGAGGATAAGAAGGCATGGGTCCCAAAGAAACAGAGCAAAGAGGGAAATTAAAACAATCACATTTGTAGTGAAACATAAAGCATGTAAATACATTAATTTCATTTAAACAAGATTTTCTTTAGAACTTATAATTTACTATATTTCCTAAAAGAATAAACCTACATAAGTAAAAAATCAAAATATAAATGTTAACAATTTTATTCTTAAAAATAATATTTTTCTATTGCTAAATAAGCCGCTCTTAAGTAAAATTTTTACATAATTAAAATTTGTGCCTTTAAGCCCTCAAATACTACATTTTAAAACACAAATGTTCTAGCATTAGCAATCAGACAACAAAAGGAAATAAAAGGCATCAAAACTGGCAAAGATGAAGTCAAGCTCTCACTTTTTGCAGATGACATGATATTATACATGGAAAACCCGATAGACTCCACCAAAAGTCTGCTAGAACTGATACATGAATTCAGCAAAGTCACGGGATAAAAAAATCAATGTACAGAAATCAGTTGCATTCTTATACACTAATAATGAAGCAACAGAAAGACAAATAAAGAAACTGATCCCATTCACAATTGTACCAAGAATCATAAAATACCTAGGAATAAACCTAACCAAAGATGTAAAAGACCTGTATGCTGAAAACTATAGAAAGCTTATGAAGGAAATTGAAGAAGATATAAAGAAATGGAAAAACATTCCATGCTCATGGAATGGCAGAATAAATATTGTTAAAATGTCAATACTACCCAAAGCTATCTACACATTCAATGCAATCCCAATCAAAATTGCACCAGCATTCTTCTCGAAGCTAGAACAAGCAATCCTAAAATTTGTATGGAACCCCAAAAGACCCTGAATAGCCAAAGTAATATTGAAGAAGAAGACCAAAGCAGGAGGCATCACAATCCCAGCCTTTAGCCTCTACTACAAAGCTGTCATCATCAAGACAGCATGGTATGGGCACAAAAACAGACACATAGACCAATGGAGTAGAATAGAAACCCCAGAACTAGACCCACGAAAGTATGGCCAACTCACCTTTGACAAAGCAGGAAAGAATATCCAATGGAAAAAAGACAGTCTCGTTAACAAATGGTGCTGGGAGAACTGGACAGCAACATGCAGAAGGATGAAACTAGACCACTTTCTTACACCATTCACAAAAATAAACTCAAAATGGATAAAGAACCTGAATGTGAGACAGAAAACCATCAAAACCCTAAAGGAGAAAGCAGGAAAAAACTTCTCTGACCTCAGCCACAGCAATTTCTTACTTGACACATCCCCAAAGGCAAGGAAATTAAAAGTAAAAGTGAATTACTGGGACCTTATGAAGATAAAAAGCTTCTGCAGAGCAAAGGAAACAATCAACAAAACTAAAAGGCAACCAAAGGAATGGGAAAAGATATTTGCAAATGACATATCAGACAAAGGGCTAGTATCCAAAATTTATAAAGAGCTCACCAAATTACACACCCGTTAAACAAATAATCCAATGAAGAAATGGGCATAAAACATGAATAGACACTTCTCTAAAGAAAACATCCAGACGGCCAACAGGCACATAAAAAGATGCTCACTGTCGCTCCTCATCAGGGAAATACAAATCAAAACCACACTCAGATACCACCTCACACCAGTCAGAGTGGCTAAAATGAACAAATCAGACTATGAATGCTTGAGAATTTGTGGAGAAACGGGAACCCTCTTGCACTGTTGGTGGGAATGCAAACTGGTTCTGGAAAACAGTGTGGAGGTTCCTCAAAAAATTAAAAATAGATCTACCCTATGACCCAGCAATAGTACTGCTAGGAATTGACCCAAGGGATACAGCAGTGCTGATGCATAGGGGCACTTGTACCCCAATGTTTATAGCAACACTTTCAACCATAGCCAAATTATGGAAGGAGCCTAAATGTCCATCAACTGATGAATGGATAAAGAAATTGTGGTTTATATATACCATGGAATACTACTTGGCAATGAGAAAGAATGAAATATGGCCTTTTGTAGCAACATGGATGGAACTGGAGAGTGTTATGCTAAGTGAAATAAGTCATACAGAGAAAGACAGATACCATATGTGTTCACTCTTATGTGGATCCTGAGAAACTTAACAGAAGACCATGCGGGAGGGGAAGAAAAAAAAAAAAGGTTAGGGAGGGAGGGAGCCAAAACATAAGAGACTCTTAAAAACTGAGAACTGAGGGTTGATGGGGGGTGGGGGGGAGGGGAGGGTGGGTGATGGGCATTGAGGAGGGCACTTGTTGGGATGAGCACTGGCTGTTGTATGGAAACCAATTTGACAATAAATTTCACATTAAAAAAAATTAAAAAAATAAAATACAAATGTTAAGCAATTTAGATTGATATATTCATAAACATACACTAGAAATAGAATATGTTGTAAAATATGAGTTTTTATTGATATCAACTGGGTCATTCATTAGTATTCTAAGGTATATTCATTAGCATATTCCTTAGTATTCTAAGGTATAACAGACTGACAGTAAAGGATCTCAGTATGCCTTCTTTGAGGGCATGGATCATGAGTCTGTTCATAGATGAGCACTGAGTGTACATATATGTTTTTGTTTTGTTTTGTTTTGTTTTATGTGTTGATATTTTCCCTATCTTCCAGAAGTCAGAGTTTTAGTTATTACTTCTCATGGTTTGTATACCTGCCTGTACAAGATCCTTATCATTTAATGTACCAATTCAAATCTTCAATTGCCTGAAAAAAACTGTATTATGCATCTTGTAATAATAGTATGGAAAGTCTAAAAAAGGGATGTGAACTTATCTTCTTTGAGTAAGTTACATAATATACAGCAACTTAAGGCAAGATATAAAGTGTAAACTTTGAAGACACTGGAAACAGAGCTGCGTAATAAAGTCACATCAACAGCTGTATGTTATGCACACAGAAATGACAAGTCATAATGATTTAGTGGTATTCAAGGGAATGGGTTTCTGTACACAAAGGAAAAAAAATCTAGATGGATACATTCCAATAATTAAGACCACCTTAACAACTATTGTTGCCTACTGACATATCAAAAATGACAAAAATCTAAATTTAAAAGTATTGAATGATAATGTAGACCTTTAACCATAGTGGAAGTTCACTGCTAAAATAAAAACAAGACACAAACTTTCCTCATCTGGATGTCTAAAGTTTATCAAACAGTATATTTTATAGAAATATTATTTTATAAGTGAAATTATGTCCCTCTAAAAGATATGTTGAAGGCTAAGACCCTGGTATCTGTGACTATCACCTTGTTTGGAAACAGGGTCTTTGTAGATGTAATCAAGTTAAGATGAAGACATTAGGTCGGCCCTAAACCCAATATGATAATGGCCTTCTAGGAAGAGGAAAACATCATGTGACTACAAAGATAGATGGTGGGGGGCGGAGGACAAAAAAAAATGTAACATCTTTAACTCTCAAAGATGTGAGTGAGATGCAGCTGTATGCCAAGGAATGTCAAGAATTGATGGCCACTACCAGAAGCTAGGAAGAGCCAAGGGAAGATTCTACCCAGTCTCAGAGGCCCTGCTGACACCTTGGTATTAGACTTTTAGCCTCCAGAACTGTGAAGGAATAAACTGCTATTGTTCTATGGTTTGTGGTACTTTGTTAGAGCAGTTCTAGAAAACCAATACATAATATTTAGACTGTTTCTGAAATCTAACATCTAAAGAACTGTTAAATTTCATTTCGTTTCTCCAGGGTCCTGTCACCCTATCACCTCCAAGCTACTCCCCTGCGTTCTCCCTTGCTGAGTGCCAAGTTTCTCACATGCCATGCTGGAATTCATTTGCTACCTTTGAGAATGCAGCTTTTGTAGAATGCTAGGGATGGAGGCAAAGACTTCTTGAATCTTCAATACCCATTCTCTTCTTCGTTCATAGTAAATAACTACACAACCTTTACCTGGGCATATGGCCACCCCAATAAAAGATTACATTTCTCATTGCTGCTCTTGGAGGTAACGTTGTATGCTATCTTGCCAGAACTTCATTTAAATCATGATTGGAGTCAACTTTGTCTCTTTTCTTCTTCACACCTTCCTTATGCCGTCTGGAATGGGAATGGGATGGCTAAACCTTGATCCACCATCTTGTACCATAAGAACTAGGGACACATCCTAGATATTTGTTGAGAAATAAGCTAAAAGTAAGCATGGTTTTCAAACAATTAAGATTTTACATTGTTTTATTAT